ATCTCTTTGGAATTTCATTAATTTGAAACCCCAAAATATTTCTAGATGCCTTATTCTGTTTCTAGGGGGACATCCTGCTATGCTAGACAATTGGGACAAATCTGTGAGACCTGAAATCACTGGGCGTTACAGGAGGAAAAACCCCAAATCTTCTCTAAAATGAAAAAATAGATGAACTGTTCATTTTTGGCTCACAGAATCACTGTGTATAATTCATTTAATGGCCTTATTATTTTTGTTTTCTGAATATACTTACAATGTGTTAATATTTTGCTGCATTTGATGAAAATTCTAGTTTTAGCTGTTGTTTACCAAAATATTGTTAACTAAATCCATAAGAATTCAGAACCTTAAATAAGTGAGCTTTTAGTTCATTTACTCTTTCTAATTCTAAGGGTTCCTAACAGCATGTCGGTCACAACCTTTCTAATTCTGAAGTAAGATCTTCAATTTCTTGTTTCTTAAAAATTTGTGATTTTTATGGATTGTTTCTTTGGATAGGCCTGCAGAGTAAAGGGCTTAGTAGGTGTGAGCCTGTATAGAAATTATCTTGTGTTTTCTAGACAATTGAAATAATCAGCTTTGAGGAAGAGGGCAGACTACCAGTTTATCTTGAAATAAGCTTGCTTCACTCCATGTTTTTGCGTTATGTGAGTACAGTTGCACAGATAGAGAAACTAATTGTCCTTAATGGATACCAATATTTCACAGAGGGTAGCAAAACATCTGGATAGTACTCTGTGAGGGGCAAGTTGATAGAAAATCCCAATTTTAATTCAACTCAGATGAAATACTAAATTGTGTTGTTTTAAATAGGCCATGCAGCTGAACAACTAAGATCATATATGATCCTCTGCATGGAGGTGTAAAGAAAAATCTTTGAAGAAATACCATAGTAGAGGAAAAATAGTCATACAACAAATGGCTTCCACAAAGTCTCTCTCTGTGATATGATTAAATATTACAAATTGTGTAAAATATTGTCCAGCAACATTTTAAATTATTTTACTGGTTCGGTTCTGTGAAATTTACAGCAATACAAATCAGTAATTTATGTTGTGTAATTTCTATGTTATGTAATTTCTATGTTATGTTTAGATAATCTGGTAACAGTTAAGTGTAAATAATCATAAGTTCAAGTGCATCTCCCTAACTAAGGATTGCAGCTAGTTTACTTTTAGAACATTAACCTGTTTAATAATTAAATGGCACAGTGTGCCATTGGCAAAGTCAACAAGAATGCAGGAAGGAGGTGAAAACTTTTCTGGCTTGAAAAGTACCTCAGAAATATGTTTCATTTCTGGAGTAGCAGCAGCAAAGCATCAATATAAACAGTTCTGCCTTTTAGAGATCATAGATATATTTTACTGAGTTTAGCAATATTAATTTCTTTTTTCTTTTTTTTTCTTTTTTTTTTTCCTTTCAGCCATAATCAGCAGACCACATCATTTAGACATCCTGTGACAGGACAGGTTTCTCCAGAAAATATTGAATTTATTTTGCGAGAAGAGTAAGTAGTTTTATACCCATGTCAAGAGATCTAAAACAGTAACACATTTACCTACAGTAGTTTAGTAGTTTCACAGTTCTGATATTGTAGCAAAACTGTCATTGAGATGGTTGATGCTTAAAAATTTACTTCTTATTGTGGTGATATGTTTTTATTTCTAGCACTGTTCTGCGTTAGGGCTTGAGAGAAAATCTTGACCAAATCTTTAAAACAAACAAATAAACAAACAGAAAAGACAGTATGAATAGGATACTTATTGTATTATAATATAATATATTCTATTACTTATAGGATACTTACAATGATGCTTTAGCCTTCTGTAAATATCAGATATACAGAACATAAATGTAAAATGTCTTTCGAGCAAACTGGAAGGTTTGTACTGAATTTGAAATACACAAAATACTACTAGTTTCCATTGCAATTCCTTGGTTTTTGCATGTTTTAGATTTTCTACATTCCCTGTCTTGGGCTTGTATTTATTAAATTTTTTTATTAGGCATTCTTTAATTTATTCTAGAGCAATAGTCATGTATATTAGATTCCAGCATATTTTATCTTGATCGTGTGATTAAAAAAAAAAAAAAGAAATGCCTGTGTTCAAACGGGTGTGTCTGGGCATCTCTTTGGTGTTGGTTGGATCATTCCCTGTTTCACTGTAGTGTTTAACTACTCCTGCATACTATTTGCTGCATGCTAGGATTGCTCCTGGAAACCCTCTGTAATGGGATGACTGGATATCCTCACCAGACAGAGTCCAGAAAGTTCTACATCACTTCTAAAACCACTGCAAAGGGCAAGAGGAATGGGGTGACACCAGATAGCTTTTCCTTTTCCAGCCTAATCTTCCAACACTGTTGAAGCAGTGTGTAGCCCTTCATGCATCACTGAGACTGGGCATCACGCTGTAATGGCTTGGTGTAGTGGTTTGTATGGCTGCCTGCATGATTCTGAACACTTTATGTTTCAAATTATGTGCCGTTTAATTTGCTTTACATTTAATTTAAAGCAGTGTAGCATTAAGAAAAATGAGGCCCAGAGAAGGGCTATGCAAGACTCCCAGGAGACTGAGGCTTTTCTGGCAATGCTTTCTGTTGTGGACTTGGGAGAGGAAAGAAGTCGAGCATGACCATACAGCCCTCTGCTCAGAGCTTCTAGTGCAGCCCTGAGAAGGGCTTCTCAAATGGTTTAAAAAACAAACCAACCAAACAAAAACAACAATAGCAGCAAGACTCGAGCAGAAAAACGGCTAAACAGCTGCCCTCCCCCAAGCCCAAAGCAAATCCAAGGGCCAGTCCTATGTCAAGGCATCTCCTGAGAACCAGCATGAAATAGAACATTGAATGTATTTTGCCGTGTTCAGGGAAGGCCTGTGATGAGGTACAAAGAGTGGGGTAGCTGCTGGGCTGAGGTCACCCCAGGTGTTCAGTGGTACGTAGGCGGCTTGCAGCTCGGGAGGGGTTTGGCTCTTTACAGGTTATGCAAACAAGCTGCTCCAGATCATTTAGCGAGGAGAACAGGCATCTTGCAATGGAACAAATCTCAAAGACAGTATGGATGACAGCCACTGTGCACCTGTGTTCTGACTTCCATCCGTTAATTAATTAATCCGTTGTAAAGGTTCAATCAAATTTAATATAAAGAAATTTTAAATGTGTAAGGGAAAATAGATGTTTGGATAGAACTCCTTGGAATGCCTCCCTGCATTAGTCACACTTCCCTGGGCTGTTCCTGGTTTTGTAATCATGGTAGCATATAAAATATTAAAAGCAGAATTGAAAGAACTTGCTGGTGGGACATTGTTTTAGTGATCTTTTGTGTATGTTAGAAACGTTTTTGGAAAAGAAATGAAGGTGTTTATTTGGAGGGCAGACAGATGAATGGGCTTAACTTGTCATCTCTACACTTCAATTACTCACACTGAGATGGTATCAAAAGTGGGAAAAACCTTACAATGTAGTAGAATTAATAGAGACAAGTGGGTTTTATTCTAAAAGAGGAAATGGCTGGAGGGATATAGAGAGGAGTATGTGTTTGTAGTGACTACTCAGGAAACAGTCTTTGCAAGAACATTTTTCTAAGCTTCATTGTTGGCCTGAAGTACATATTGATTGTTTGTAATATATCACTTAAAATTGCTTTAAGGATCTCAGTTTCAAGTGTGTGGGATGCTCTGGTTTCTTTAGTTTTGTACCGCTTCTGTGTGACAGTCTGGGTTTTACACAGATGCTGTTCATCACAGACATATCTGAGTTCCTGTCAAATGATGCTGTTGACATATGTGGATGTCTCCGCTGAAATCAAAGGAGCTGTTAGCACCTCCCTGTCTTTAGGTCTAGGAATTGTGATGGGGCTGAGCTGTGTTTTCAGTTCTTTTCCCACAGGGATCGGGGATTTGTATGGAATCATTGTTTGTTGTGTATTAGTTTGGAATCTGTGTTGTAGATCATATCTTGTGATGGAATGACTGTCGCAAACAGGATGCAGTTGGAAAGATAGTCTCTGGATTTGCATGGTCTGTGGAAACTTGGATCCTTTTGCCCAAGAGTCCTTTTCTCTATAGCTGAAGAATCCTGTCTGAAGGAGTAGCATTCTTAAGGGTTTCATAAAAGGCAATTTGTTCTTCAGTGCTGTTGTGACGTGATTTATTACATACAGGTTGATTTTAATTTAAGATTAGGGCCAAAGCCAGGAGTTGTAACCAGATGTTGACAGTGAGCTAGTGGGGAGATGTAAGCACAAACTTGTTCAGACTGCAACAAACGTATCTATTAAAAGAACACATTTAACGTCAGAAAAGTAATTTACAGTAATCTAGGAATGATGAATGTACGGACTGCTCTGGCCATTTCTCATCCAGGAAGCAATGTTCTGGCAAGACGATTTGAAAAGAAGTTTTGGAAAATGATGTAATCCTAACTTGATTATGAGTCAGTTGTGAACCAGATGCCCTTGCCTCACTTGATCAAGTGAGAACTGGATACTTTCAGTAGAAGGCTGAGACTGTATTTCACTAGTCTTTTCCCAAGGCATTTCCCCTTTTAAGCAATATCACATCAATTTTCTTTTTAAGCCAAAATATGATTTCCTCAACTCCATTGTTACTGGAGGTTAAAAACACAGTATTGCATGAAATCTGTAACTTTTGAATTGTTATCTTTTGATCTTTATGCTATTCCTTCTTCCTAAAGGTATTCTTATTTACTTTTTTTTTTTTGAGAAATAGTGATTAATAATTCCCTATTTCCCAACTCATTCTTAGCTAAGAACACTGTCAAACCCCCACCTCTTATTCTGTTTTTCCAAGCTTAGCAGCTTTGGTCACTTAACGTATGGGATGCATGTTCTGTACCTTTCGCTTGTGCTGCTTGAGAGCTAGCTTTTAGATTTGTCTTTTTTTCTGATGGAGTGATTGATTATAGGTGAATGCAGTATTCAGCATGGGAGCTCATTGTTTTTTATAGTAATTTAACTGTAGTTTTTCTTCTCTTTCCTAGTAATTCTTAACATCCTTTGGCTGCTGCTACTCATTGTGCTAAGACTTAAAAATATCCTTTCCTCAGATTGCCAGTGTTGTTTAGAACGATAAAAGCTGCAGTGATGTTTTTAATTTCTTCCTTGTTTGAATTAGTTTTTGTTTTTGACAATTCAGTTTGGCATCTTATCACATGGTTACTCATATCTGAAGATTATTTTTCTATCTGTTCCTGTCAGCATTTCAGTTTTTGTCCAGCATAATTTTTGTCCTCTGTTGACTTGATCACCTCACAGTTTTCAGGATCACCTATAAATAATTAGAGCATCTTGGCTGTGTGGGAAGTCCTTCTGGTAGCCTCCCTCCATTTCACAACTGTCTCTTGATTTCTGTGCTTTACTGTCATGTTTTTAATGAACCCTTAATCCACAAAGGGACCTTTCCTAAACAACCAATGGCAAAATTAATATTAACGATAAGGCTGCTGGACAGATGTTAGATCTAGTTTAACCACATCGTTATACATGCATTTCTCTGAAAAATCTATGATAGAATTCCTTGGGATAGATGTACGTAATGTTTTGATTTCTTCTCTCACCTTTCTTTAAATGATGGTTCTTTAAACAGTTGTATACAGAAAGGAAGAAGCGGGCACTTAGAGCCACATATCTAATTGTATCTGCTGCTAAACACTACTAGTTGTGTATTAGAAGCTTTACAATACGTTTGTGATAGTAGGATGTTTGCAAATGAGAAGATAGTACTTTAAAGTTAAAAAAAAAAAAAGACGAACGTAAATGTACAAATATAGAGGGGGAAATATATAGTGAGTTTAATCCAATGAGTGTTATCCTCTTTTTCTGCCTGTTTTCTGTGCAACTGATAAAGCCTGTGTATCACCTCTGGGGAGAGAGCCATCTTATTCTGTCTATTGCATTTGGTTACTATAGCAGCAAAAATATCAGCTGAAGAGAAAGGAGGAAACTCAAACAACCCCCAAAGAACTATCTGCCATGTTTACATGTATAGAAATACTAGGACAGTTAATTTTTTATCTAGCTGAACAGGAGATTTACTAGTATTAAAGCTAGATTGACATGATATTACTGTGTCTTATTTGGTTCTGACAAAATAAACTTTTTAAGTTGCTGGTATGAATGTGGATCTTCTAACTTGACTAATCTTTATGATCCTTTAGTGAAAAGGAATGTGTTCCCTCCTGAGTATTGCATTTTCAGTATGGGCTACTGGTGTAATCATTTCTTTTGTTGTTCAGTTGTTTCTTTTTTTAATAAACCAAATATTGACCATATAATTCTTTTAGCTGGTAAATGTGATTTCTGTAGACATACTAGCACTGTTTAAGTGGAGCAGGGAGTTACTTGACAGGAGATACTATATAGACTGTTGTTTTCAAGTATTTTAAAAAGATTTACAAGGGACTGGAGCTCTGAATGTGCATTCTGTAATTCTGTATGTGTATGCACACACCTAGAGGAGGCAGTAAGAAGACTATCCTGAAAATAGACAAAAAAAGTCACTATGAAGACAGAATGGGGTATCTTGGATAACAGCTATTACCAAACATCTTTGGTGTAATAGTGATTTTGAACTAATATTTTTGAATGCACAGAGTTAAAGCTATAGTCACTTATTTTTAAAGATTAATCTGTAAATACTATTAGTACAATGTTAACTCCATTAACATGCTGGGATATTTCAGGTAATTCTGCTTATTCTGCATATTTTTATTTGCTTTTAAAAACTGAGAATATTAATTAGCTGTTAAGAGACTTGAATAGTTGAGTTTCGTTATGTTGTTATGTCATTATTTTTATGTTAATATGTCATTATTTCATGCACAAAACTATTTTATCCTTGAAATACTATGTACAAATACTTTAATTAATTTTCAGTATTGTTTGGTGTTTTCTGTTACATCTCAGGTACAGAAAGTTTGAATCACTGGTGTTTGGTGCCAAAGACCTTTTTTTAGGAATATAGTGATACATTTTCTCTTTTGATGGACTTACTGGCTCTTTTACTGGCTTTTTGAGTTCTTCCACATGGCAACAATCTCACATTTTTTAAAAAACCTTTTTCTCCTTGTGAATTTGAAGTTTGTCGTTAATCTTGGTACTACTAGGAAAGGAAAGCTTGATTTATTTGCAGTGATCACTTTCAGTAGCAAGTGGAAGAGAAATCGCTACATGGCCACATTATAAATACTTAGAAATTAAGTGTTTATCACTCTGTATTGCATTATGATTTTCTGATAGTGATGGTCTCGTTGGTCTTGTTAAACACATAAAGCTTATCTTCCTCTGTATATTTTTTTCTTTCCAAACTGCAGTATGTTTAAGCTACTGTGAAACACTATCTTGTGGAATACTGAGCATCTGTTCAATCTGAGTTGAATTTGTTGATTAAAACCATTCCTCTGGGCTTACTTCTCTTTTGACATTAATGTTTTTATTGGAAAAATTAAATTGAATTTGTTGAAACTTAAATGTTATTTTTCATTTTTGTCTTTCCTGAGAAAGTTAGCTCTCTATGACATAGCTACTCTACAAATGAAGAAATATTATCTAATCAGATTACCTATTTTCTGGAAAGCCTATATGTTTTCTGAACATGTATGTTTTGTGCTCTCTCCTCTTCCCTCAGCGTCTCCCTTTCCTCCCTCCTTGCCCCGGCAAGTCTCTGGACAGTATTTTGCAACTGTCCTGCAGTATAAAACTCAATAGTTTGTGGTGTAGACATTGTAGAGAATCTAAATCTCAAAGGAAAAAGAAATTTTGTGTCTTCTAAGGCCAAACATTTTCCTTGGATGTGTTTTGTTTTCATACTTTTGCGACTTATTTCTAGTTGCTGCCTTAGTGATATCAAATCTAAAACTTTAGATTCATTTTGAGGAAGCAGTGTAGAAGGCTGTAACATCTCTGTTAGCGTTCCTTCCTCATTGAAATACCTAGTCACAGTTTAGTTGCCTCGAGCGGGGAAATGAAACCTTTTTGATAAGTAAATATTAGGAAAAGGCAAGTAAGATGCAGGCACATGGTAAGTGTGCGTTTTCTACCTGTTCTGAACGTTTATGGAGTGGGAAAGGAACAAGTGAGAGCAGAGTCAAAAGCAGATAGTAAAACTGACTGATCAACCGAAATAGTTTAGTCAGACAGTGTTGTATATGGGAAGTGTCTTAATCTGTTCTTTGCTAAACCTGGATGTTGTTAAAGCTGATTAAATGCTGAAATGGGATACCTGGTCCATAAGAGATAAGGCAAATTGGCTCAAACTGATGTGATGAAGCTTTCATGCACTAAAGGCTGGCCAGGGATTTTACGGACTTGCTGTAGTTTGTTCTCATATCTTGGACTTGAACTTACATACAAAAGCTAGAAAGAAGGGATTTATGCCAGATAAGCAAAGCAGAAAGGAAATGGGATCAAAGTTGTGTTACTTCCTTGCAAGCTTAGTTGAAACTGTGTGGTCACAAAAGGAAAAATGTGCTTTCCCTGACACCGGGTTAACTGTAAAAGCCTTTGGACAGGTAATTGTTCAGATTGTACCTGAGGAACTGAGGAAGAGCAATGGTGGCAAATACCTTGTCCTCAGTTAAACCCTCTATTGAGCTACTACAATCACAAGCTCTTCCTTTCTGTTCTTATAACTGCTCAGAATTACTCTGTTCTCTCTTACTTTCAGAATTTAATTGAATTTCAGCGGAAGCAACAGTAATGTTTAGCATGGCTTGTGTGGGTTTTTTTGTTTGTTTTTTTAAATAAATGGCTTTGGTGACTTACTGAGGTGGGAAAAGAAAAATCACTGGTTGTTAATTGTTTGTTTTGTTTTTTCTGATGTGACTGTATTGCTACTTGTTCCTAAAATACAATTTGCTAAACGGTGGTGTTAATGATTTTTGAAAATAGCACCTGTGGGTTTAACTCACAAGTCGGTGTCAAGCTTGACTGCGGAGGCTGCCCTTCACAACCTGCATGTGGGATTCCACAAGATTTTGCACTTCCGTTTACCCTCTCATTTCTGCGTTTGGGCAGCTGTACTGAATTCTTACGTGTTGAACAGGTTCTTATGGTAGGATTGATCTCACCTGTGCTTTAAACGGATATCTGCATCTGAGCTAGTTATCAAGATCTCTTGAATCTTAGCATGACTCAGAAGTTATTTATTTCCAACAATATCTGCCATGAATTGCACCGTTTTGCTTAAAAGATATTTTAATAATTCATATTGTGGTATGAATCATATTTTGGGAAGATTCAAAGATCTAACATTAAGTTAGTGAAAGATCTAACAGTAGGCTACTCTGATTTTAAATAAGAAACCTGTTATTGCGAAGTGCTGACTCCTCTCCTTCCCTTCCAGTACTGACTCTTTTGCATGTTTGCAGCCAAGCCTCTAAATTGGGCACAGTTTAGTTTCTCTGCATTAGCCTTATCTTCTCTGGGTGCTCTTTGATATACCTTGATTCTTTGTTGCATTTGCAGACAATTTGGCAGTTTTTTTCCTCCTGATACATAGGCAAATACCGATCATCAGATGTCACAGGCAGTATCTGCTTGAGAAATACCTGAAATCAAAATAATAGGGTGGTGCAAAGGAAGTTGCAGATGCATGGGAAGTTTTTGACTAGGCTGTCATTCATTTGCGCACTGTAAATCTTAAATATAAAAAGGCAACACTGACCGTTTGAAACAATGTGCTTTAGATTATCTGTTTGTGTTTGTTTTCTAGACAGAATTCATCTATGTCCAAGCAACAAATAAACCAAAGACCTTCAAGCATGGTCAGTGAAACATCCACTGCAGTAACTACATCTGCTGTTGATACAAAACCTGGCTCTAAGGTAAAGGAAAAAGGCTATTGCTTCAGCTTGATGATTACAACTTCACTTGCTTTAAATTCAATACTCTCTTACTGCTGATTTTCATAGGGCCATGGGTTTAGCCTAGAAGTCAATAGTTTACCTCAAAGAAGAGGTAGTATCTTCTACCCAAGCAAAAACCTTTTTACAGCATAGAGGGAGGTGATGGTCTTGAATTATAATTTGAAAAACAGTGATTATTGTGACATGTAAAGTTTGAGAGACTTGTTAAGAATGGAAGTAAGTATATGTAATACTAGTGTTCCAGCAGGTCTTTTGATAGTCCAGTGTATATGTCTAAAAGTGCTGCAGAATGCCAGGAATTGTAATTTGTACTTCTTTCTTTTCCATGCAACCCGTAGTGCTGTTCCCTCTCTTAGTAACAACTTAGATCCTTTTCTGCCATTACTGTAGTGCACAAACAGTGCAGACGCAAAGTTTACACACAGAATGTTTAATAATAGAAAAATCCATTATTTGTCATTGACAAAGATCTGTTTCAGTTTGAGAGTAAGGTACATTTGGAATTTAGTCTGTTCAAGCATCTGATGGTGTGAATGGAAGCTTGTAAATGTTACTGTGCGATACAGTACTTTGCCAAGTCAAAAGCAGGAAGGATAGTAGTGTAATGTATTTATTACTACCTACATTTTGAGAGTATGTTTTGGATGGATTCTGCATAAGAGAAGTAGTTGAATTGTTGATGACACTGATGGTTGCTGGTATTTGTTCCAAGATGAACCGTTGAGGATTACAAGAAGTAAATGAAGAACGGGTCTAGCAGTTGAGAGAAACGGGCAATGGTGCCAGGCATGCAATGCTGCCAGCTCTGTGGGACTGTCTGGAGCTGGAGTGTAGAACACAGGGCTTAGTTCAGGGCCGCTGTAGATGAATCCTCAATATTAAGAGCAGGAATTTCTGAGAGTTTCAGTTTTTCCGATCTGAAAAATAAGGATTTTGTCTAATTTTCTCGGAGATACTGAAAGGATTCCTGAGTTCATTTGTTAGTGAAACGTTGAGATTTTTTTGAATGAAAATGGAAGAGTTTGACTTAAACAGATGTTTTTTTGGTGGGCTGTTTTTTTTCTGTTGGTGTTTGTTTGTTTTAATTCCTTCTAGATTGAAAGTTATATGTTCTCTTATGTGTATGTATTGGCATATTTTTACCAAGATACAGTTCTTCTTTTTGCTGTTTAGAAAATCTGTTCCAAATGAAAAGCTGTCTACATTTTTTTGACTGTCTAGTTTTAGGAAAAAAAACACACCTACATTTTTATAATTAAGTTAGCAACTTTCTTCTTCAGATAGAGGCTACTGTAAGAAAAAAGACAATGCAGTGATGAAAAGGGATTTGAAAATTTTGACTCTTGACATTCTGGTTTTTTTTGTAAAAACTTACGAACCATTCACAAACAAGCCAGCATAACAAATGTATTGAAGTCAAAAAGGACTCCTTTGTCTTCAGTGACACAGGCAGCTGCTCTGACCTGCATTTTTCAACACACAACGACAATACCAGAATATTTCAAGTTAGGAAAAGTCTACTGCAGTACAGACGAATAGTTTTAAAAATACACCTTTTCTTTTAAACTAACTTTTTATTCTAGCCAGTGGAAGGAAGGTGTGACATTCATTATCTCTTATACTTTGTTATGCTTTATTCCAGAACAGAATGAAATGATTAATAGTACAGGTGACATGAAAATTTTAATTACATAAAGCACCGTAAAATGATTTTTTGTTTCTATTATGGGTATTGTATTGATACAGAATACACAGCCTTGGGAAGACTTTTCCCCCTCCCATGTAATAGAAATTGTTTGGTCTTTTGACCAAGTCCAAGGATGGTTTTTCTGCATGGTCTGTATTTTTTTTAAATTCAGTAAGGTCAGAGAATCAAAGTGCTTGATCACTGACAGGGGATCTGATGAAAAAAATCAAATTTAAACACTGCTGGAAGTCTAGAACAGCTCTACTTTAACTGTTCCTCAGTTCGTCCACCTTTCCTCAGATAAATATGAGAAAGGAAAAATTAGGAAACTAAATTCTGTACATTTTGTAAATTGACTTCTGTTCAGGTACATAGCATAGATTTTTGACTTCCAGAGCCTGAAACTGTTTCAACCTCATTTTTCACCACCGTTGTAATATAGCTGTTGCATCTAAATTTGGCAACAGTTTTTTAAAATCTTGACTGAATTGATTACTTCTCATTTTTCTTAAAAGAAAATACATGTGGCTTGGCCTGATGATCATAGAAGCATCCAGAGCTTGACTGTCCTTGTGATATGTCTTTGTGTGTTCGTTTAAAGTTGGTATTTGGATACAGGTTCACAAGTTACCTTTTGAAGTATTTTCAATAGCAAACACAAAATGCCTAGCATCTTATTTCTTCCTTCCTTTAGTGGCGGACTTGCTACTTGTACGTCTTTTGAGTTAGTACTGAGGAGATTTTGTGGCCATAATTGACCTACTGTGTTTGCTAGTGCTCTGCAACCTCTTAGCTGAATGCCTTAGCACAGGTACAGCAGCGAAACAGGCTGGGAGATCTCGGTGATACCATCCTCGCCTGGCTGTTACTGTGAACTGGTTATTGCCAGCTGAATGACAGGAGCATCTGCTCAGAAACCTGCTGCTGTTCACAACCCAGCCTGTTAGGTTTGTGCTAGCCCTAGACAGCCAGGCTGCTCAGGTCGTCTCCTGCGCTGCCCTGGGCTGCGGGTAAGTCTTGTGCAGACTCTCGCTGAGGTGTCTGGTAAGGTGTGTCCTGGTTTCGACTGGGATAGAATTAATTTTCTTCCTGGTAGCTGATGCAGTGCTGTGTTTTCTGGATTTAGTGTGAGAATAATGTTGATAACACACTGATGTTTTAGTTGTTGCTAAGTAGTGCTTACACTAAGTCAAGGACTTTTCATTTTCCCATGCTCTGCCAATGAAGAGATGCACAAGATGTTAGGAGGAAGCACAGCCAGGACAGCTGACCCCAACCAGCCAAGGGGATATTCCATACCATAGAATGGCATGCCCAGTATATGTACGAGGGGAAGTTGGCCGGGAGGGGCTGATCGCTGCTTGGGGATGGGCTGGGCACCGGTCAGCCGGTGGTGAGTGATTATATTGTGCATCACTTGTCTTCCTTGGGTTTTACTCCTCTCTCTCTCTCTTTGTTATCTCTATTGTTATTATTATATTTTTACTTCAGTTATTAAACTGTTCTTATCTCAACCCACAGGTCTTACCTCTTTCCGATTATTCTCCCCATGCCATGGAGGGGCAGGGGAGGAGTGAGCGAGGGGCTGTGTGGTACTTAGTTGCTAGCGGGGGTTAAACCATGACAAGTGTCACTCCTAGGGAAAAGCCCATACTTGACATTCTTCCTATCTCCCAAGTGTCAGGGCATGTCACAGAAATGATCGTGACATGCAACTCACCTGACTTCTCAGCAGAGCTGAAAGCAGCGTGCTGCTTCCTGGTAAACAGACCTTGGGGAAACTGTCTGGTAAAATCTGCCCTTTGATATCTCCCTACAAGTGTTAAATGTATATTGCTGTTTTATATGCTATAGCACCAAAGAAAAAGTGGATTTTTGTCCTTACTGATTATTGCTATTCTCTTAAACCTGCATTAAGATATGTGCTTATGTCTACTGAAATGTGTGAAACTTGGTGCAGATTGGTAAAGCCTGGCATCAAAATCCACATAATCCATTTAAAGTTATACATTGCTAGAATATTTTATTATTATATATGCTGTCTTGTAGTCCAGATGTTGTCTGACTGGCAGAAGCAGTATGCTGAGATATTTTTATGATATCATACTTTGTATATGACAAATGTGCTCATTTCCAGAGCTGCTGTTTGTCTGCGGCTGTCAGAGCATCAGTACCCTGACCAGCTGAGAGCAGAGATTCAAACAAAGGAGAGACATTGTAGGGGGCAGACAGAAAGTGAACCTGGACAGCTATTTCCTTGGAAAAGCTGGGAGCAACTGTAAGGGTGGTTTGTGCACCTTAGGTTCCTAAAGAAATTGCAGTAGCTAACTGTGCTGAGATTGGAAAAGAACAGGCAGATTATTCATGCAGAGATTCTCGCTGTCTTTTTCACAGACTGATAGGCTTTCTTTGTTTGTTTTTGAAATAGTTTTGCCCATGTGAGTCAGAACTGAGGTTGCAGTAAAACACAAACCATTACCTAGTCCTTATGATTGCCTCTTACTGCTGGCTAGGTCTCTTCCTTAGCAGCGTGACTCTGTCTTTTGTTTACAGGGTCAAAGTCCAAGCATTTTATTAAGCTATCAGTGTTGTTTGAATTTAAACAAGAAAGAAAACCAAAACCAACCAAACACCTCCCCCCCTCCGGCCCCCAACAACAAAGAGCAAGAATAGGATTCATGTGCGCAAAGTCCTGTGCATGTAAGAGACTTGTACCATGTTACAGAGAGAGACTTGCAGCTCTTGTAGTGCACTCAAAAATACTTCCCAAGCACGCTAAAACTCCAGCAGTTCTGACTTTCTGACTTGAGTCACCAGTGCTGCTGCTGCTGTTCAGCTGGGAGTGGGAAGACTGTCCTGGCACTGGTATGTTTACAAAAGTGGAAGATTGGCTTTGCTATGTTGTAAATATCATTGTCTATTTACTTGCCCTTGAAAATGCTATAAATACTTTGTTACTGTGTAACGAAGTATGAATTATTGCAGTGAGGTTATTTGTAATGTGAAATGAATCCAAGTACAGTTTAAAAACCACTACTACATTATACTTCTTTACAGGTTGTGAAGGCTGGAAACAAAGTTCATAGCTTTGGAAAGAGGGAACAAGCTATCAGGAGGAATCCCAATGTTCCTGTTATAGTAAGAGGCTGGCTGCACAAACAGGTATGCTTGTAATCATCTGTTTATGTTTCATATCCTTCAATACAGTCATCAAGTAAATGTTAAGTGCCTTCCAAGTAACTGAACAAACAGAAGCTCGAATGTTGGGCAGTGTTGTGTACTCCCACAAGCTCCTGTAATGAGGGACTTGTGCTCAGCAAGTATGAAAACCAAGTTTTAGTGCAGGTTTGATTCAGAAGTGGAAATAATGATAAATGGACATCACAATCATGGTTAAATGGTGAGGCTATAACTTTGTTGTGTAAATCTGGTTATTTTCCCTGTTTTATCCTGCTAGTTTGCTGCCATGCTGATCTTGGTCTCCCTCAGCACACACTATAAGCCCAAGGCTGGCTGTGAAGACCATATTTCATCTGCTTATGCCCTTTTAGCCTGATCAAAGGCTTAATTCCAATCCATATACCTTTTATTCTCCAGAAGCAGGAGGGAGAAAATGAAGGGAGACAGGGACCTGTTCACCACACATTGCTTTCACCAAGACCAGTGTCCAAGCAAAGGCTAGATTATAGAATTTCATCCAACAAACAGAATTTTACAGCTGCTGCATCTTGAACTCTTAAGCGGACAGAAGCACATCCTTGAGTGGAAAATGTAAATAAAGCTGTTTGTTGTATGAGAATACTTCCCTTTTTCTAATTTGGCAGTCAGTGTCCATCAGATTATCACCAGACATCCGGCAGCTAGGTTTGGGGATGAGTAGGAGAAGGCTGAAATCTAAGGCTTACCATTATGATTCTACATACATGGGAGAGTGAAATTGCTGACAGCCATCTGCTTCCTCCTGCATGGAGAGCTGTATTCTGCTATCAACTCTCTTGACATCCGCTACCCAAGTCCATTAGTTTTCAGGACAGAATCAGAACTCTGACACAGTATGTGCTGACAGATTTGTAGCATGAAAAAGGAAAGGGAAGTAAGTCCTTGCATACTTTAATATGGCTGCAGAAAGAAGGAGGGAAATAGTATATACAATATTGCTCTAGCTTTTTCCTTCTGTCCCCTTACCTCTACTTGCAGGCACTTAAAGCCTGAAGATGCTTTCTATGCTGCTGTTCTCATCAAAGCCTACCTCAGCTGAATAAGTTGTACTTGCTTAGGTTGCAGTCTGGCAATTTTAGAAGTTTCTAAAATTAATTTCACTGTAAATATTACTCATTTTGACAAGGTGGTATATATTATATAGAGAGATATATAGATCTCCACAGGCATATTATATTATACGTCATTAAAATTTGTACATTATGCACCCTGTTGTATTTCCTAAGGAATATTTTATTAAATTACATTTTAAGCATGAGTAACATATGGGAGATTCACTGTGGAATTATAGGGGATCATGGTCTGAAATGTGAGGTCATACTTCACAGCTGTGTAGTGATTTTCATCTACAGGCAGTCCTTGTTGGAGTTTGTGCCATCCACATGCATACTTTGTTTCTTTATTGCAGATAAATGTGTCTAGATAAAATATGCATTGGTTGTGTATAAGGTTAATCTGAATGCTGTTTGGGATGAGAGTTTAATTACTTAATGAAAATTAGCAGTTTGAATATTTTACCCTGATTATTTTATAGCTGAATGTTTTGCCTCTTATCTTTCTTGATACGTAATATTTTGCTAAAATATAAACCACTTGTTTTTGCAATTAATACCATATTCAGGTAAACTTCTGGTGAACTACTCACTGATACAGCTGTTAACTTGCCTTAAATGAAAACTGCATCACATTTCTTGCATTTCAGGATAGCTCTGGAATGCGATTATGGAAAAGACGGTGGTTTGTGCTTGCTGATTATTGTTTGTTTTACTACAAAGGTGAGTAGCTCCTTTGTGTTAGTCTGTAACAGTTCACCTGTTCAAATCTCACTGCAAGTGTAAACTAACTGAACTCTTCAGATATAGTTAGGTATTCTGAGAAGATGCATAGTGAAACAATTACTTATCCATATGTCTTTAATGTGCAGCAAATTTCAGGCCAGAGTTGGGGAACAGGGGGGTGCTGTACGATCTTTTGTCACATAACTTATCTTTGATATATGCCAAGGTTTACATTGCAAAACATTTGGCAGCAATAGCCCTTTAAGATTTATTCCATCTCCAGTCTACATTATGTTATCTACTTGCTTGCACTTGGACAGCTGATTTTTTGAGAACACACGGTCTCCAGATCAGGGCATTGATTCAGCTTTAATCCAAGGGACAATGTAAGAGTGAGAACGTCTGAATCGAGTACTTCTACCAAAAAAGGTTAGAAATGGTCTTAGGCTGAACTAGGAATAATGGTATTACATAAGGTTATTTTGAAGTTTTGAATATTGTGTAGCATGCTACCATTTTTGGAAAGCATTACAGAATATGAGACTTGAATTCATATTTCTGAGTGCTGCGTTTCTCCTGCTGATCACTTTAGAGTCAGCAGTAATAGAGGTTTCCTAATTAGAGCAATTAGCCTAGATGTAGAATGCTAAATGGAAGGTCCATCATGTTATGCAGCCTGTCAAAGTTCATTTGTCACAGTAAGCTTTATTCTCGAAGTGTATTCTTCTGTCTGAACCTAAAAAATCAACCCACCCCTAAAAAAACTGAACAAAAACCCAAACTGATTTTTTTAAAAAAAAATTCAGTCTTTTTTCTTTAAAAGTAAAACATTTTTTCTCCATGTGTGGTTAGTGTTGAGTCACAAGAAATTTCAGGTCAGAAGGGACTTCAGGAAGTGTCTAGTCCAGCCGCCTGGTTGGTGAAAGCAGGGTCAGGAAAGAAGTCAGCCCAGGTTGCTCAGGGCTTAATCTAGTCAGGCCTTGGAAACCTCCAAGAATGGAGATGGCACAACATCCCTAGTCAGCCTGTTCCGCTGCTGCTCTGTCCTCACGGAGAAAATTCTTTTCCTTATATCCAGTCTGAACCTCTCTTCTTTCTACTTAATGCCTGCTGTCTGTGTGTCCATGAAGAAGAATGTTTTGTTACCCTAACGAAAAGTGCAGTGAATGAGATTGCAATTTTTTTGTTCAACAGACAGCAGAGAAGAGTCTGTTCTGGGTAGCATACCACTGCCTAGTTACGTAATATCTCCAGTTGGACCTGAAGATCGCATAAATCGCAAGTTTTCTTTTAAGGTACAGTTACAAAGCTTATTAGCTAATCATATTTTAAAATATTTATTTGCACTAGAAAAGCTGCTGTTGTAAACAGAAACATCATGTGCTTTCCTGTTTTATTTATTTATTTTTTAAAGTTGACGGATTTATTGACTGCCTGTTCAAATGTGACATAGCACTTTTTTGTTGCTTATGAATTGACATTCATATGTCTGTTACTATGTAAGTGTCTTTAGAGCTTAATAATGTGTCAGTGAGTAAAAATCATGTTTCTAAAATAAAAAATTAGTATTGATAAGTTGTTCCAGTACTGTTTACAAATTGAAAGAAAAGATGTCTTTTTTTCTTGATCTCATAGTGGACTGATGGTCGTTTGGTTTTGGTTTTGTTGTGTGTTTTCTAAAAATAAAATAATCAGCTCAGTTCTCAGTTAGAAAATGACAACACTCTAGCTTTTAATGTTTAATTTCCTTATATCTAGGGGAAAAAGAGTAACCAATTTTTTTTCTCCTTTTTTGGGGGGAGTTGTCCTGAGTGACATGGACTTTTTTAAAAAAAAAATACTCTTGTTTGATATAGTTTGAGGTGGGTTTTGTGTTCTGGGTTTTTTTTGTTTGGTTGTTTGGTTTTTTTTAAAAGAAAGTTTAATTGTATAATTTACAGTTCTAGTCTCTGTTATAAAAAACTACGAAAACGAAATAAAACATACATTCCTTCTTGACAGTGGAAAAACCTGACTCCAATTCATTGTCTGAGCTGCAGCACTAAGGCAGAGTTTAGAAACTTCAGTGTATGTTGCAGATTTAAATTCTACCGATACTTGGAGCAGAACCTGTTCTTCTATCAATCAAATGAGCTATGCACTTTTAAAAAAAAATAGAAATCAGGTTTTGATCAGGTATACTTTAGGAGATCTAGAAGGAAACTTTCTGTTTAAAAGTTTTCTATACTGAAATTACGAAGAACGTCTGCTCGGCTTGGACTTTCTCTTGCATTTTGATTTTTGGGGTGTTTTAAAATTATAGACCACCTTTTATTACTTTTGGTTCTATTTTTCAAGTGTATAATGGTTTGAAATTTATTAAACAAATATTAACTTGGGAAATGTGTTTAAAAAAGAGCCAGTGCACTTTGTGGAAATGTTTATTGTACTTTTTCAAATGCATTGAACATGAGATAGCAGGACAAGCTACAAAGGAACCTTTGTTTAAGTAAAACATTCCACTCCAATGTTTAATGAGTGTAATTCATAAAGCTCTCTCTTGTAGAGCCTTCTCCTAGGAAGAAGCATGTAGTGAAAGAGGAGGACCCAATGTACTTCTAGGCTTCTACTTCTCTTGATTAACTCTTAGTGCAGACTGGGGAAGAAGATAAAGAAAGTAGTGATAGTATCTAGTTGCTTTATAGTTTTAAAAAAGAAATTCTGCTTTTTATTTTATTGAAAACGTGTTTGTAAATGTAAATTGAATGTATATTAGAATTCTTAACCAGTTTAACATTATCAGTGATAAGGGGGAAAAAACCCCTCTGTGGGTGTATGTATATACCCACACACACAATGTAGTTTCCAAGCAGTATGTGCTATAGGCGAGCTTTCAAGTCACCACTGCCAAGTTGTACCTCTCCTTTTCTGTGGAGTAGAATCCATGGTGTGAACATGGTTTAACATTTTCAGAAGCAAACAGGCTTCCTCTGTTCCTTTTAAGATATCATACCTATATGAGCTCTACCAAGGCTTTAAACTGAGTCTTTTTCTGAAAATCAGCATGAGCCAGTAACCGGAGACTTTCAAAATAGGATTGTTACTAAAAAGTTGATATAGAAATAGGAAGTTGATAGCAAAAGAAACTTTATGCTAGAAATCGATGTAAAAAACCTACGGCATACATTTCATGTATTAGTTTGTTGGGCCATCTTAATTCTGCTTTAGGTGTTTGATGATTGACTGCAGGCTTGATGCTGCAGTTTCATTTTATTTAGAACAAACTCCTAGGGCAGTAGGAGGATTTTTGTAAGATTCCTGTCACATGGACCCCATCCAACACTGATGTTCAATGGTCACGGAGTCAGCTGTGGGCATACAGCGGCAGGAGCACGGCTGTACTGGCATTCCGTCACTCACCAGCCATTACCTTTATCTAATCTCTTCAGTACACTTCGATATCCAGAGCGTAGACGGACATTCTGTCTCACGACGTAGTGCAGCCAGAAATAGAAGGCACAAGCAGATTAAGCCCAAAATAAAGATAAGACTTTTTCGCATTTAAGTCCTGAATGAGTGGGAGAATGTGCCATGTCACTTTTTACATTAGGCCTGTCATTTATTCAGATTGTTGTAAATCCTCTGTTACTATAGAGGTATTGGCTCCCATTTGAAGTGGCTGTTTTAAGTAACAATGAGTTTTTGAGGCTAGGGAAGCAGTCAAACTGTGAAGAATTTCTACATTTTGGTTTGTAAAACTAAAGGAAAGAAATTTACTTAGCAAATACATGGATGCTTCTTGCATATGATTCAGTTAGAAGGAGGTTTGTAAAATACGTGCTCACTAGGATATATCTTAAATCCTGCTAACTGTAAAAATGTACACTCTAGGAGTTCTCAAAGTTCTTTTCCTTTCATCATCTCCTGAGGCCCAGCTTTAAGCTTTTGTGTCTCTTTGGATGTTTAACAATTACAGGCCTGCAGAACTGTGTACAGGCTGTTCAAATGCAATCAAAAACCTACTTTGAAGTGTAGCAGTATATATGTTAAATTGTTTTGTTTAGAAACTCAGCTTTTAAGTATTTATCCTGACGATTTGTTCACATTGCCCCAAGCAAAGTGCTGTGACTAGCTGTAAGCTACTGTCATTTCACTGAGTCAGTCGCAGCTCAGAAGGCCAACCGCATCCTGGGCTACATCGAGAGAAGTGTGGCCAGCAGGTCGAGGGAGGTAATTCTGCCCCTCTACTCCACTCTGGTGAGTCCTCACCTGGAGTATTGCATCCAGCTCTGGAGCCCTCAGCACAGGAGAGACATGGACCTGTTGGAGAGGGTCCAGAGCAGGGCAATGAAAATGATCCGAGGGCTGGAGCACCTCTCCTGTGAAGATAGGCTGAGAGAGTTGGGGTTGTTCAGCCTGGAGAAGAGAAGGCTTCGAGGTGATCTCATTGCGGCCTTCCAATACCTGAAGGGGGCCTACATGAGAGATGGGGACACACTTTTTAGCAGGGTCTGCTGTGACAGGACAAGGGGTAATGGTTTTAAACTAAAAGAGGGTAGATTTAGACTTGACATAAGGAAAAAATTCTTTATGATGAGTGTGGTGAAGCACTGGAACAGGTTGCCCAGAGAGGTGGTGGAAGCTCCATCCCTGGAGGCATTCAAGGTCAGGCTGGATGGGGCTCTGAGCAACCTTATCTAGTTGGACATGTCCCTGCTCACTGCAGGGGGGTTGCACTAGATGACCTCTGAGGGTCCCTTCCAGCCCAAATGATTCTATGATTAAGCTGTGTGACAGCCTTTTAGAACTCAGGATCTTTACTGCATATTTAGTTCAGTAGCTAACATCTTTAAGCTATTTAATTAATCTAATTGCTATATTTTTTCATACAGTAATTTTTTGCTGATACAAATCCAATGTGAAAAAGTTTGCTGAACATTAACATAGAGCTGGAAATACTCCCTGTGATTAATAGAGAAGTGACTACTTTTTAGTAATACAACAATTTTAAACATTAATATTATCAGTTTATGAAGATTTATGTCATCACAGTCCCTTTAGAAGCTTCATTGTCCTCTGTCATGAAAACTGTTTTTAGTTGGTCTTATATGTGTTAAAATATATGAGAGAATACTGGAAGTAAACTCATATAAATAAGTCTGACAGTAATACAAATTGAGAAACTTGGAAAGCCTACCAACGTTTGCGAACATTTGAACAAAACTTCATGCAAGGACAATGTATGCAAGTATACGTTTGTATTTTGGTGCGTATCTTGCTACCAAATAAAGTCAATGAAGGATGCCCTGATATTCCTGTAAGAGCTGAGAAGTAACATTGGAGATACAAATTACTCCTTTTTATTTTGATGCTACTTTTCACAGATAATTTTTTCACAGATACACCCTTTCAGTGTGAGGGCTCAATCATTACTTCCAGAAGATGCTAGTGCAGCTTGTTTTTAAACATCTCTTCGTTATTGATACTCTGTAGACTTACTAATGGAAGCATCTGTTCATTGCTTAGACCTGCTGGGACCAGGGCAAACTGCTTGGATGTTTCTTCAATCTCACTAGTTTTCCTAAAAAAAATTGAACATAGTTTGTTCCTTTATGTTCTCTGGATCACTGTTCCTTCCTTAGGCTCCCATATTGCTTATAAAACTTTTCTGGGTCTAGGGAGCCAGGTGAAGAAGTGCCAAGGGCTATAAATTTGAGAGGTGCCATTTTAGAATTTGAAAGAAGGAAGATTCTAGCTTCTGGAAGTCCTGAAAAAGCTCGATACTATTTGAGGGTGAAAGATGAGTTGGATTGTACTGTGCTCTTGTTGTGTTTATAGTGAAGAATCAGAGTATTATTTCAGTTTTTGCTCATAAAAGGTTCATAAATATCAAACTTTGGGAGAAGGGAGAATTTCCTGTATGTTATAGCTTATTGAGAGGACTAACTTTGAAAGATGACAATTATTAGAAAACTGTTTCTGTCCTCATCCCTCATCATTCATTCCCATCCTATGAACTGTGACTTCTTCTGTCCTATGAATTTTCAATTATTGGAGGTGGACATAACAGCTGTAGGCATTAGTTGCTTTTAATATAGTCTTTCGTTAAGTATTTTATTTGGAAACATGAATCTTTTCCTGATTTTAACTTGTTTAACTTTTTGTCCTTGTCTTGTGCTATTGATATGCTCTTGGGGTTTACTGTCCATTTCTCCTTCTGTGCATTATGGGAGAGAGGCTGCTTTTCTTCTCAATCTATCCACATTAAGGCATCTGAATGCATGAATAGGTACCAATATTATTTTTTCCCTGTTGTGTATATGGTGTACATGTGCGCATGTGCTGCGTTTTAGGCTTTTTAGTATGCTGTAGTCATCCTAATAGCTATTGCTTTAAAAAAACCCAAAACAAAACAAAACCACAACCCGCTAGCTTCTGTGTCTGCTGGCAGAGACAGCTATAGGACATTGGTACAAAGTGGCTTTCTTGCATATAAAACACGCTACTAATAAATAACTGAAATATATTTGAATTTTTCTTTAACCAGTTTTATATATTATGAACTACAGAATGTCAACGTCATGTTTGATAATAACACACCATCTCCATTATCCCTTCTGAAGCTGTGAATGTTTATGGCTGTGATAGCTTCAGTCTCTCAAGGGAGAATGGTGCAACATACTTTGCATTTTTATACCGTTTTCACCTACAGCCTCTTAAGCAATGATTTCAGCTGTGTTCATCGTGCACCGCTGAAAGAAAACCTGAAAGGCAAATGGGTTATGTTGATCAGGACGTACAGGTCGATTACGACAGATGCCTATTAAATCCATTTATTGATGTGCAGTCTTTGCAGTTAGTCACCCAAGGTTGTGGGGTTTTTCTGCAACTATATAACCAGTGAATGGTAGGGTCCTACTGTGTCATCTGCAGTGTGGGCAGATGCAGTCTGCTTTTCTGCAGCAGTCGCTTCACTGCTGAATTCTAGCATCTTCTTCTATGGGCACCACATGGTCTGTGAAGGAACCTTGTAGTCATAAGGTCTAGCGTTAAAATCACTGTTTTCCTTTACATCTGGAGCTGCCAGTTTTTGGTCTCTTCTTACACGGGATGCTAACCATGAATTGCGATGAATTAAATGCTTCTGAATCATATTTGTTTTGACCATTTGTAATGCTCTCAAAATGGCAAAAGAAAAAAAATAAAGACCCTAATAACAACAAAGAAAACCCAAACCCAAAGAACTCAGCCAGGCAAACATGAAAAAAATCCTTTGGTTCCTAAATACAGAATTGATCAGAGCTACTGCTTCATGCTACTGTTTCCCTGAGTTAGGGTAGGTAGCTAATGGTGGGAAGGGAGAAGAAACCACCTTGTACTCCTTTAACGGCCAATGCTGTTGGCAAGCCGAGACTCTTTCGAGCAGGAGAGAGTCCTGAACTTCTCTGTGTAACCCTTTTCTCCTCCTCCTCCTCCTCCTTTTTCTAGCTGGCTGTTCTGCTGCAGTCTCAGCCTTTCCAGGCCGGGTGTGATGGCAGGCCAGGGGCTGAGCCCTGCAGAGACTGTATTACCACAGTTTTCAAAACAGAGGCTTCCTTGCTTGAGGCACAGAAGGGAAAGACCACTTTTCACCCATTTATAAGAACAGGCTGCAATAGAAAGGGTGTAAATTTTCCACAAAACTTAAAGCACTGTAATAGCAAGACAATATTTTGCTCCTTGGAGTTGTTGATACGAATCTCTATTATGGTAATTTGAGAAATTCAGGGTAAACAACTGAAATTGTAACATTTAGGGAGGGCTGCACCAGATTAAATAGCCTGGGTTCTGTCAAAACTATTGCTGTGTTTCTGAAGCCATCTGTGATTGTAGAGGTTTTTTTAAAAATTTGGAATAATGAGGAGGAGAGGATTTCCTCAAAATAAAAAGACCAGTCATTTAGGGAAGATTTGTGAAATACATTTAACCTTTAAAAGAAGATGTAGCCAGATTAAAAAGTTGAGATATTTTTTTCCTTTTAAACACTCCTGTCTCAGCAGTATTTCATGCCATTACCTTTTGGATGTGATAGCAGGTTTAGTTTTATAAAAAGCAGTTTAAATTACTAATTTTCTTTTAGTATCATTACAAGAGCTTCAAACCAAGTATACTGTCTCCAGTTTTTTGGAAAGTAAGGAGATGAATCTCTCCCTACTAATCTGAAGCACATCCATAAAGTAACTTTGAGGAAATCTAGTCAAGTGTTTCAGGACTAATATGACTTAGTAATGTCTGCACTATCACTTATACAAATGTAGATGAGATTTGATTAAATTCAACTAGCCTAGAGTTACAAAGACATTCCATATTGAAGATGTTTGAATAATGAATATATTTGTACAGGAATTTCCAAATACCTCTAGTTTGCAGTAGAATTTCATGGAGTATTTTGGTGTCAATATTTTCTGTGCTGTGATAATTCCATCAATATTACTAACTTTATCGGTAAGTCTTGTGATATTGCAGCTAATATAGAGGTTCAAGTGCATGCTTTAACCAAAAGATCTTAACATGCATTATAATCAGTTCTTAAAAAAGCAGTTTAATGGCTTGAATTGTAAGATTTTGTCTGTGTTTTGTCTCAATAAATTGCTTTATTAAATGATCTGGGAAAATTGGCTTGCTTATGCATGTCTCAGTGAGAATTTCTTTAATTTGTTTTGTATGGTGTATGAAATGTATCAGTTAAGAGAAAATGAAAAACTGAAATTTCCTACTATAAAAACCAGAAGTGCTGCACTTTTAGCTTATTATTCAGAGAAAGAGGTAGAGGAATTTCAGTAAAAATCAGAGTGCCATTTGAGTTTGCTGCACTATAGCCTGTTGTGGCAGTGTAATAATTTTACCCAAAATTCAAGAAACAGTCAAAGAATATGGAAAGTTTTTTGTTTAAAAGATAGCAGGAAAAGCTACAGTAAATTTTCCGGGGGTGGGGGGGAATGAAAGGGCTATCTGAGTTTTATTTCTTTCTTTTTTTTTTTTTTTCCCCCCCTTGCAGGCTGTTCATACAGGTATGCGGGCATATATTTATAATAAGAATTCTGTTATTGGCTCTCAGGCAGAGCATTCAGGGATGCGGACTTACTACTTCAGTGCAGATACCCAAGAGGATATGAATGGCTGGATCCGGGCTATGAATCAAGCTGCTCTTATGCAAACACGCTCTTCACTGAAGAGGCAAGTTCAATACAGAAATTGTTAACTTTAAAAAAAAAAAAAAAAAATCTTTTTTATATATCAAAATCAGATTGGTGGTGATTTCTGAAAGTTATATTTGTAAAGGTGTGCATGAAACTCATTCCTATTTTAAAGTAATTATTTTAAATTTACATTCTGTTGCAAATTAATTAACTAACAATAGTTAAGAAAACCTGGTGTTTAGTGCCCACACTTAGTGACATGGATTAATTTCTGTATATATATAATTTTTTAGTGAATTTTAGTTTAAAAGTTACAGGTTTTGTGAGCAAATTCATACACCTGCAACAACCAGTTGGCAGCCTTGAGGAGAGATAAGTAAAAGGGAAAAGACAGAAGAGTAACAAGTTGTTTCAAATGAGTGTTTAGAACTAGGATTAAAATGCTGTTAAGAGGAAAAGAAAAAGATGGGTAAATCATAAGTGCGTAGAGTTATGGATATTAACTAATTTATGCAGGTATTAACTGCTTTTTTATTTAACTTCAGCCTTTAGTACTTGTAAAAGTTTTGCTTTGTTTTGTTTTTTTTCCCCTCTGTGTAGGAAAAAGCACTGTTATAAAAGGAGAATGTCCTTTGTCCCGTTGTTCTTAATTAGTGCTAGAGGCAAACAAATTCAACTGTGTCTTCATGTCCTTCCAGTTTTTCCCTTTCCTTAAAATTGATGTAGCCTTCTTGATGTTTTGACTTTGGAATATGATTCTTTCCTTACAACTCTTTGTGAAAGAAGACTCTATACTGTGAGACAACCCTGCTTTTAACCATTGGGGCTGTGAGGATTAAAATGTCATGGGGCAGTTTCTCAGAGTATCTCGCGCTACTGCTTGCTTTTTGCAAATCAAATGTAAGCAAAGGATCAACATCTCTTCCAGAGCTTTGCATCCTATATGATTTTGTGTTAAGACTTTCTGGATTTAATTTAAATTTCAAATAACACGTATCTTGTTACCTGTTTTTAATTTATCTTCTTTATAAGGATAGGAATAATTGAAAGAAAAATTGAGGCGGTCTGGCACATTAGGCCTATTGATGCACTGTCCTTCCTCCTAGTTGGCTATTCATTTTGAGACACTAAGTTGACTGAGAACAGTTGTTTTACGGTGCTTACTCAGAATTTCACCTTCCATAAAGCTATAAAGAAGCTGAATTTAGTTTCAGAGAAAATGAGATGCTACTCCAAGATCAATGACACTCCATTGAATTATAAGAGGAAAAAAATGTTGTCAAGAAGCTTATCGCTATCAGGAGATGAAGAAAATTGCAAATAAAGTACATTATGTGTCAAAAGCAACATAAAACTTTTAGGATCCTTAGACATTTTATAGTGTGCTGTAAGTTTAACATCATGATTTCTGGTATGGAATTTTTTAAATATTTAGGCAATAAGGTAAATAAGAAAACTAGTGTGCATTGCAGAATGTATTAGGAGCAATGGAGATTATTTTTCTGAATTTTTTTTTTTTTTTGCAGGAATAGCCTCCAGGTTAGAAATTCCATGGGCAGTGATAGTACTGACTCAAATGTGGATATTGTTCCATCCTTTTGGCCAAAAATTACTAGTCCCTAAGTCATCTACAAAGATAGAAAAGACTTTTTTTGCTTTGCAATGGACAGTTGGCGGCTTGGTTTTGTTTTTTTGGCTTTCAGTGTTTCCTAGGATAGGAAGACTTTCTTTTTTGCAGTTTTTTGTACATAATATTACACAAGTTGAACACTTCTTTCATGCAATATGAGTATTTTCAGTCATTTTTACAGATGCGTATAAATGATTTCTGCTTCCTTGGTGGCACTCTAAAGGTAACTTTTGTCTAACTGGGGTAACAACTGAATTTTGCGGAGCATATCTATCTTAACGTGTCAAATTATCACAGCCTGGAGAAGGTGCTTTTGTGGGTATCCTTTCTAAAATAGTAACAAGACCACATCAACTTTTCACAATTAAGCAATGTTCATTACTGACAAGTATTTTCTTTTCAGAGAAACTGAAAAAGTGGATCAGCAAGCTGTTCCCCAAGTCAATCATGTGGATGCCTGTAAAGAGTGTGTGAAAGCAGAGATTACAGATACAAAAGAAAGTTATCAAAAATCAGCTGAAATGCTTGGATATGATAAGCGTGAAGAGATTAGAAGAGAAAAAGAGGAGGAGGAGCGCTATATCCACAGAAAAGAAACTCTGGATACTAAGAAGGGAAAGGCTAAGCATGCGTTAACAGAAGCTGATTCATTATTTCCAGACTTAACAAATGCATCATGGACCCAAGTAGCTCAGCCTCAGCCAGCTGAGAAGAATGGAACGCTTCCTAGTTCATTAAGTATGAGTGCGGGCCTAGTCGAGCAGAATGGTACCAGCTCATATAAAAGAGGGTTTGTTCCGAGGACAAATCCAGATAAACAGATTCAAAGAAAAAGTAACATGGCTCAAGTGGAGCACTGGGTAAAAGTCCAAAAAGGAGATACAAAAAGGTTAGTAATAGGCCCATCTTTAAATAGACTGCCAAATGGCATTTTCTTAAATTAAAGGAAAATATATGTTAGCAGTATGTTTAGTGCAAATCAGAATGATATTTTACAGAGACAATATGTAAGAAAACTTTCTTTCTCCACCAGTGCAGAATGGTATTTTTCAGGTGTTTATCTCATAGGAAAGTCAGTATGGGATTGGGTAATCAAATCCCTTTAATAGTGTCACTGTATTGCAAATAGAAAAAGTGAGATTAGAGTGCTGGGGTTCTTTTACTGTTTTTAATCACTGTGGATGCTTAATACTTCTTAAAATTTGCTACAATTGAAGAACCAGAAAGTGAAGTTTAGCCCTCAGCTACCTCTTGTTATCAAACAACTACACAATATAAATTAGATAATTATTTGGTTTTCACGTAAAAGTAAAGAATGATGATTTTTTTTTTTCTCCCTTGGGTTCCTGTTTCAAACATCCATGCACTCCTCTATAACAGATCACTGCATTCAGAGTCACAGTATGTGCTTCACAAATTGAAAGGTCTCCGTATATTCATTTAGTTAATGAAGAGGTCTTGAGATGTTCCCATGGTCTCCAGGATTCTCTTTTCCCTTTTCAGTCCCTGAAAACTACATAAATTGTACCAAGAGAGGGAATGCACGCTGGAATGCTTTTGTAATTTGAAAATCTCATGCTTACTTTCAAAGCATGCAGTCAGGTTAGGTACCAGTTGAAAAAAATGAAGTGATGTATATATGCGCCTGTTCAGAGTGTCACTGTGTGTCAAGTGGCGGGAAAGACCGTTGGGCTTTATGCTGCGTGTGAGGATTTTTAAATGTGGGTAACCTACTGAATTACCTTATAAATTTGCTAAAATCTAGTAACATAGAATAATAGGAGACTTTAGCATGTGGTTTTTAGGAGGGAGAACGTTTTGGGCTTTTTGGTTTTTAATGCTTATTGAAGCTAACATTTGTCATTTTGGATCCAGTAAGAAATTTAAGGCTTGCTAATTCTGTTTGGAAGTCCATTCTTCTACTCTCTTATCTTTGGAATTACCCTTGAAGAAGCTTTCATATTTTATGATGTTATTTAACGTTCTTCTAGACTGCTAGAGTCAATTTACTTGCATCTTTTTTGCTTGGATATCGATCAGTTCTTCCCAAAATAATATGACTTTAATGAAAAAAAGTACTTGGTATGTTAGTTCTTCTTACATGCACAGATATATTAGTCTAAAATAATACAGAAAACTTGAAATAATTAGTCGGTGCTTAAAAAAAACTTCTGTTGATGTTTTTCACATCAAAAGTATAGGCAGTAAACAGGCTTGATTGATAGCTAAATAAGTACTGTTTTCTTCCTAATTACTCTTTCCAGTAAATCAACTTTAGGCATATGTCAGGTGTAGTGTTAAGATAGTGCTGTTGCAGGTGCCAGTTTGTTCTAGATAAAACCAGCTACCTCAGCTGGAGCTGCTGAAGTATTCTGTGAAAATTCACAAGAGTTAACTACAGTGATGAAACCAAAATCTAACTTTATGTGTACATATATGTAGTAATTTTCTTCTTACCTTAAGAATTTTATGTTCTATTTTAGCTCAGTTGACCTTGTTTTCTTTGTCTTTCCCTGACACATACTGTTATATTCTCTGCATTCACAATAAATTGCACGTTACCTTCCAGAAAATTAATGGATTGATCTTTTAAATGGCACCTTCTCTCAGCCTGCAGAGGTTGTTGCAGTGCACTTAGCTGATGGATAGAAGTGACATGTTAGGTATCAAATGTCTTCTTGATTTCAGGATATAGAAGTTTAAGATAGAAATGATAATTTGACATTCCATTTTGATTTTAGTAAGTATGAGTGGACCACTTAATTTCTTAATGCTCCATATTGACTGTTATTCTACCTGAAATGTTACAGATAAAGAACCTCTGAGGATTTAGAAGCCTTTGTGACTTTTGAACACAGAATGAGTACAGTTTTATTTGTTTCCTGGCTCAGGTGTCTAAAAATGCAGTGCTTGCCAGCAAGTTGTTTGTAAGAGCGAACTCTTTCAGCTAGAGGCTTCACACAAATACAGCAGTTGTTTGTATAATTATTTGTGGAGTTTGCACATTTTAGATAGATATTTAGGTCTTTCAAATAGATATTTTACTTCCCCTTTTTATAAAACTCTGTTTGCTTACTAGTAAATGTGAGCTGTCACTTTGGAGATTCACCTCTCAGACAATGAACTGTTAGCTGCTCTACAGTTACATCCAATGTAATCATCTAACCCCCTTCTGTTCTCAGCAGAGGGGAACACCTGCTTTGGTAAGGTTCATGCTAGCCTTTGAGAGAGATCTAGAGAACTGGAAGAAGGTTTGAAAGGAGGCTTTCAGGAGATACTGGATTTAAGTAATTAAAGGTCAGAACCATCAAACAGCAGCTGTCCAGAAATTGTAGGTCTTTGATCTGATTCCAGTGCCTGGATAGACATAATGAAAGCATTATTTTGTTTATTTGTTTATTTGCACTTAAAAAAAAAAACCCTCTGATAAATGTAGACTTAATACTTCCCAACTAAATGCAATCATGTTGAGGAATTTCCTTCCTTGCAAATACCGTTTGCAAATACAACATTTCATGTTATGCAGAACTTTCCATTCCTTCCTGATTTGCTTAAGGAAGAAGCATTACTTGTCTTTGTTAGCTTCTGTGCATTCCCATGAATGGTCATAGTGTTTCCAATAATTGTATTTGTTTTCTTCTGAACATTTATCTTTTTTTACAATATCTTCTGTGCAGTTGTTTCCCATTGCAGACCCTGAATGATTTTCATGGCCAGTAATCATATTATATGGCATCAGGCCATTTTTTCACTCTTCAATGTCTGGTTTCCTATTTATATTCTATATACCTCATCATTCAAGAGAGGGAGATTCTCAAGAACAGCTGCTTTTGCTCATTTTTACTCTTGATCCCTGAGAAGGCAATTGTCCACAGTCAGTTGTGGACTAATTTGAGTCATTTGGGACATTGTTCCTTTCCTGTTGTAGAAATTGTTATGTCATCTTAGTGCCTATTTTTATATAATGCAAATTATTTTTAAGGGTCTGAAACCATGTGTGGTAGAGATGCCACCTGCCTAAAGCCTGTTATGTTAGCTGGTGGTTTCTCCCCACTTTACGTACTGAGAAATTGCAACCTGCCTGTGTGTAGACAGTTGCCTCTCAGGTTCAGCTTTGAATATGGCTTTCCCTGTGCAATGTAATGCACATACAACTTTGTTCTTATTTTCTAGCAGGCTGAAGTATTGCATGAAGCTGGCACTTCCCAGCTGCTCAAAGTACTACTTTCATCCAAACAGTTTTTAGTTCCTCTCAGACAAATTCATCCTTTTCCAGAAGAAAGGTGTGATTTCCCTCCCTGGCCCCCC